CCAAGTAAACACATGAGGAGAGGCGGGACACAGTGAAAGCCCAGCGCACTTAGCTGGAAAGACCTGTCCCAGGAACTGTGTGTAGGTTCCAAGAACAAGACAAGTGGAGTTAGACAGAGAGGATTATAGCTGAGAGGCCCTGATACGCCATGCAGGATTTCAGGCACATGGCAGCCAAGGTTCAAACTCCTGACACACCCCATCAGCTTTGGGGGTGCCCCCCTGGTGGCTTGGTCTATCCTTCCGAGAAGAGACTTGGGGTAGAGACCCACACAGGCCCTGGAGATGGGCCAAGGCCCTTGGGGCAGGGAATTCCAGAATCCCAGGTACCAGGGTAGGGTCTGAAGGGGTAGAGTGAGAGCTCCACATGCAAACTTCGCCTTGGACCTGCTGACTACTCTTTCCATGGAGAGACGTGTGGCTAGAGGTGAGCCAGAGTGGGGTCCTCAAAAACGCAAGGCCCTCCTATTCATGTTGAAGTTAGCCCTGTGCTGACGAAAGGCAGTGGTCCTTGAAAGAGAAAGGGGCACAGCAGAAGAAAAATCAAGGTATGCACCAATTTAAAACTTAAAGTGGCTGAGGTCTAGTCCCTGTTCTACGTCTAGATGTTTGGATGACCTGAACCTCACTGCACCTCAGTTTCCTCTTCTATAAAATGAAGTGAGTAGAAGTCAAATCAGGCGTTCTCTGCTAACACACAATTCAGGTCTAAGCTCCCACACACGGCTCCACACATCAGGGTGGGGGAGAGGACCTGCGGCTCACAGCCCAACAGAGGCAACAGAGCAAAATACGAAAACGAGAGGAGCCACCTGAACCACCAACACCTAAAACTGCTGGGCTGAGGGGTGTGTCACCTGCGCAGGATTTCTCTGGAATGGGACGAGGGTAGGGCTGTCCAGAGAGCCTGCAGCTTAGAGGGGTGAGTGCTGAGCGTGGGAAAGCGCGATCGTCCAGCAGCCTCGTGCGTGCGCGCGCGCGCGCACACACACGCATACGGGCCTCGCCCAGACTTTGTAAGTGAAAATGTATTTCCTGATTGAGCCCAGGAAGACAGGCCCCCTGGGAAACTGCCTCTCTCTCATCCCGCACATTTCCTGATGGCACGCAATTAGGGGATCACCTTAGCAGAGCGAGTGTGAAGGTGCTTTCACACTGCTTGGCTCTGCTCCGAGAGGCTCCCGGGTAAGGCTGCAGAAGTGTTAAGAGCATTTCTTCATTTTCTTTCCTGTCCTCATCCCCTTCCAGCTTCCTGAGTGCAAAAAAAAAGGGGGTCTTTACACCCAGAAACCAACAATACGCTATGCTAGGCAGTGGCTGCTAAGTCAGGACTGACTCAGAATTAGAGCGCTCATTTTCATCTAGAGAGACAGAAAAGTCCTTCGTGGGGTGTAACACAGAAGTGGTAAAATGTAAAAATAGTCTTCCTTTAATTTGGTCAGCGAGGAAATATCCCCTCACTTTTCCCACCATGTCATGTCATATGACATAATGGTGCCCAAGGTCTCCCACCCCACCCTAGTGACACAGGATCCTGTTCATGACCAGCTGTTCTGTGTCTGTCCAGCTACCGCCGAAGGACAATAATCCAAGACGCATGGCAAGGAACACAAACACAGGTGTGTGTTCATTAGGCCCAGCCCTGTACTGACTTCAAACACGGCATCACTGACACAGTGTTATGTGAGCAGAGGGACCCAAAGTCTCCCCTGCCACATGCCCAAACCACCAACTCCTCATGACAGGTGTAGGGCGGGAGACTGCCAAGGTTACACTGCAGTCCCGGCGATGGGTGCCGTGTCCTCTGAGCAGGGGGAGGCCCTCGAGGAGGGGAAGACGCCGGAGGGAATGCAGACCCACCTTCCCTGTCCCAACAAGAACAGCACTGTTTGCATTTCTTGACCTCTCCGGCTAAAACACATTAAAAATTACTTAGAAGTTATAACCCCAGGAGTCCCCTGATAAGGTTATCTGTGGGAAGACTACAGATCAGTTGCCTGTTAGCCACCACAGAAGAAGGGCTGTCTGCCCGGAGAGGTGAGTTGTGAAGGAGGAGAGCACACACAGGCCAGGCAGGGGACAGAGCAGGATGCCAACAGCATGAGGTAGGTTGTTGCTTCAGTGGAGGTTCCAAAAGGCTAAATGCTGGAAAAAATTTCCACACAGTCCGTGAAGAAGAAAAGAAGAAAATCATCATTGACTCCCAGGGAAGAACAGGAGATATGCTGACCCCAATCTCGAATATACCATATGTTCCCATAACACATATTCTATAATAACCAGTATCACTGAAATCACTATGGCCATTATTTAAAAAGATAAAAATAGGGGCGCCTGGGTGGCTCAGCCGGTTAAGCGTCTGCCTTCAGCTCAGGTCATGGTCCCAGGGTCCTGGGATCGAGCCCCGCATCGGGCTCCCTGCTCTGCGGGAAGCCTGCTTCTCCCTCTTCTACTCCCCCTGCTTGTGTTCCCTCTCTCACTGTGTCTCTCTCTGTCAAATAAATAAACAAAAAATCTTTAAAAAAAAAAAAAGATAAAAATAATTGGCAAAACATTGTTGTTACACAGGATCAGATGTACCTTATGTCAGTGTTCCTCACGTGATAGCTCTTTATCAGATTCTGATAGAAATAAGGATTCTATAGGGCGCCTGGGTGGCTCAGTTGGTTAAGCAACTGCCTTCGGCTCAGGTCATGATTCTGGAGTCCCGGGATCGAGTCCCGCATCGGGCTCCCTGCTCAGCGAGGAGCCTGCTTCTCCCTCTGACCCTCCCCCCTCTCATGTACTCGCTCTCATTCTCGCTCTCTCAAATGAATAAATAAATCTTAAAAAAAAAAAGAAATAAGGATTCTATAGAAATACACTGATATGAAAATATGTCCACTGCATTCTTTTAAACGGAAAAAGTTCTTAACAAAAGAGGATGTGTATATGTATGAATACGTATGTATGAAATATTACAAAATATGAACATCTCTGGGTGAAAAGACTGCAATTTTTTTTTCTTTTTTAACTGTAGTTTCTGATTTTTTCTGCAATGAGGAATATATTACACGTGTGGGGTTTCTTTTTTTTAAGTTTAAAAAATATGGGGGCGCCTGGGTTGCTCAGTTGGTTAAGCGTCTGCCTTTGGCTCAAGTGGTGATCTCAGGGTCCTGGGATCGAGCCCCTGCTCAGGGTGAGTCTGCTTCTCCCTCTCCCTCTTTTTTAAAAAATATGATACAGCATGGTCAGCCTGGAGAGGGGAGGAGAGGCCTTTCCCAGGAGAAGCGGGGAAGCAGAACACTTCTAATCACAAGCGGCCGGCTCCCCCAAGCACAGCTCATACTGCGCCTCTGCTGCCCCCGTGTGATTGAGAGAAGACCTGGCACCCGGAGCCCCGAGACAAGGAGGAACCAGGACCAAACTCCAAGGTTATCTTGAATAAATTCCTCTTTCCCTTTTCACCAATTCGTGGTGTAGATTTGTCCCACTCGTGAACATGGGGCACGGGGGTTCTGCAACAGCAAGTGCTAGGACGGGCATTCAAGATGCTAATAAGATGGACACAGACTCTGGTAGGGTTTCAGAACCCAGAGATCCACTAGGGCAGGAGTGAAGTTGGAGGTAAGAAGGGTCAAAGCCTCGGGAGACCACTGACTACAGGGAACCATGAAACCAGAATCCTAAAGCGGTACTGGAAACCGCCTCCTTTACTGCAGGGGATTAAGGTGAGAGCGCCTCGGGCTGGTGGCATTTACTTCTTCTGCCATCTGTCAGCAGAGCACCTGACCTGCTATTTGAGCATATACATTCCCAGAAATGCAGAGGGAAGCCCAGTGGGGTTAATATGTCCAATGTTCCCACTGATGGTAGTTTTAACTTATGAGAAGAAAAGCCTGCTGCCTGAGCATCAAACCATGAAGATGGAAGCCAAACTTAATGTTATTATCAAATGACAGCCAAATATATTTAACCTGATCCCTTAACAACTGCAAAATCATTATTAGGCATTAATGCTAAGCCTTAAAATGATTAAGTAATATTTTTCTTACCTAAAAGTCTATTTTTCTGGGCTTGCATTGTTGGATCTATAACAACTAAGGGCAACAGGATCCCCTGACTAATGAACATTTTAATTTTTAAAGCATAAGTAGGCACTGTGTACACACACACACACACACACACACACACACACACATTCTGGATTAAACTCCCCAACTCTTAACCCTATACCTTACCCCCTTTTTCTTAACCGTATACTTCAACCCCATAACTTGTGTGTTACCCAGGATAATGCTCAATATGTTTCTCCTATATTGAGGCTCCAGAGCCAGACTACCTGCATTCAAATGCAGCTCTAGCATTTACTGTGTGACCTTGGGCAACTCACCTAAACATTCTGAGCCTCAGTGATCTCCTCTATATAATGGGGATATTAACAGGACCACCTCACAGGGCTGTTGGAAGGTTAAAGGAGTTAATATCTGTGATGTACTAAAAACAATACCAGGCAAGAAAGTGCTAGAAGAGCCCGTTAACTCACTCTGTCCTATAATTACTTTTTAAAATGGGTTTGAAATGTCATTAATTTTTATAAGCAGTAATTTAAAAAGCAAACCTAGTCTCTGTTCTTTTCATGAATAAACACCATTTGTTACTAAAATTGGGTGACGATGAAGAGGCCAGTTCCTCCCTGTCCACCTCTAAAGTTGAATGACATTTTCAGGAGAATCAGACTTACCATCCTTACTCTCCTCCAAGCTTCCTGCCATGTATTTTAGGAAAAGTAAAGAACATGCATGTGCGTGTGCGTGTGCGTGTGAGTGCGTGCATGTGCAAGTGCACGTGTGTGGCAGGAACAGGTGGGTGGAGTATGGTCGTCCCGAGCACCTTCCCACAACTATGCTTTCAGTGTGATCTCCTCCACTTTCCTCCTGCTCTGGTCCTGGATCTGCACCCCCTTTTCCCCCACCTTCCATTAGGCAGTTTGAACAGCTCCTTACTCCAGCGACACTCACCTGTTGGTGTTCTCCAGAACCTCTACCTTCTTCCGAAGCTCCAAGTTCTCAGTTGAACAAGACTCCACCCTACAGAGGAGCAAGAGAGAAGAAAATTAGTTGTATCACTTGAGCAAATGCAAAGCCAGGAGCTAGGGTGGAGGCAGGTGGGGTTTGGAGAAGGAGGACTGGGCATCAGCTACTCTAGGGAAATGAGGGACAGAGCCTGGCCAGCCTGAGTTGGGAAGAAAGGTAAGAAGACAAAAGAAAAAGAGAGAGAGAGAGAGATGAGTAACACGTGCCTCAGGACCAGAAAATAAATAGGGATGGTACAAAATGTAAAGTCCTTCCAGGGTGTTCCAACCTCAATTTCTTTCACCTCATCCCTATTGCTCTCAATGCCCATCATTCATCTCCCCCATACTACAGGGGCCTGGATGCTGCTGGCTGTAGTCTTGGCCAGAAGGACTGATAGGAAGCCAGGGGGCTTGGGACAGACAAGAGGGGAGGACAAAAACCCAGCACCTCAAGCCAAGGAATCCAGCTGCAGGAGCATGCAAGCCCCCAAGACCATCTTGACCCTGAAGCCTACAGAAGATAATGGAACAGAATGGGACTACTTCATGCTCAATTACCAATACCTAAACTAGGATGTAGAGACACGAACTTTCAGTAGGAATGTCAACAACCAGCAAGGATCCACTCCTCTCCCCACATGGGAAGATTCCTTTCTGGGTTGGGGGCCTCATTTCCATCTTAAATGATATTTGTTGGCCAGCCAGAGAACTATATTCTAAGGCTAATACAAAACTGCATTTCATTCATGTTTTTCTAATAGCCCTCTTGATGTTTTGGACTATTCAGAAGAACAAAAGCTGCCTTCGAGTGTTTTGTGGGAAGTCGCTGGCCTGCAGCATGAATTATAGTGGACGGAATGTATAGAACACCAGCCCGACTCACTGTACTGCCTACACTCCTTCTCTAGGGTGTGAGGAATTAATTAGCACTGCTCCCTTCGGCTGAAACAGTGCCTCTCCTCTGAGCAGAGTTCCAGGAACAGGAACGAATGTTACTATTTGCACTTGTTTGAAAGGAAGCCTTCGAGGACTTACTCTGGTTAGAAATGGTGTGGTACCTATGCCTGCTAAGAGAGAGTGTATTTTTTACTTAAGGCCATACTTATAAGGCCTCCCCCTCTAAAAACCACTAGGTGGCAGGCAAAACATAGCTGATGAACCAACGAGCTTTAATGGTGGCCAGAATGAACTTCATCTACTTCTGGAAAACAGAAGCTTCGCGCACTCCCGTTTCCCTATGCAGACTACCCAATAAACACACCCAGTTTCGCAGGAGCCTTACTTTTTCTCCAAGCTGTCCATGTATTCTTTCTTCTTTCTCCTACTTTCCTGGGCAGAAATCTGAGAAAGAAGGGGAGAAAAAAGGATTAACTTCCTGCCATCTCCATAAGTCAGTTATGTGTACGTGGAAGAGAGGAGTCTGTTAGCACACAAATCACCAGGGTCCTGCTCATTTCTGTGGCCACTCTTCATTTAGATAACCTGCTGGCTCATCTGTGAGTCACCTCTTCTGACCTCCTTGGTTCCAACCAGCCTGTGTGGTCACTAGTTCACCAAACTGGGCCCTGCGTGGGAAGCATGGCAGGCCTGAGTCAGAACAGAACACGTGGGTCACGAACCATCTGTGTGGTCTTAGATAAATGATTTCAACTCTGTGGCCTCAGTTGGCTCAACTATAACTTATACACAGAGACGGTTGGGCTTGGTCAGACATAAGCCCCCTACTGGTTCTGCACATGGACCAAAAGTGGTAACTGGACTCTTTTTCTTTCTTTCTCTGCCTCCTGCCTTCTGGCCTGTCTGTGCCCTAGCCATGCCCCTCGGCCTCACCAGTCCTGATTTGCAGTGTAGGGACCTAGGGCTAGGAGACTCCTGAATCCAGGTATACAACAATAGACTACAGAATTTTTTTTTTAATCAAAAACCTAGTAAAGAAAAAAATTAAACACCCATAATGCATTTATATCTCTTTATAAATTATGTACATGCCCACTAGAAGGAAATATTGTGTACATCATAAAACAGAAACTTAAAAGGCTGAGATAAAAAAAATTAATGGGAGTTCTAATGTTTTCCTGTCAGCCCTGAATGGATCCCCTTGGGCACCAAGGAGTATGCACACCCAGTTTGGGATCCACTGACCCAGAGGATGGGCAGAGGGACTGGAGGAACAGTCACCACTGAGGGGAAGGGCAAGGCTGAGCCTTGTCCCCCTACCCCCACCCCCATGAGATTGGCCAGTGTTGGCCACCGGGAAGAGGGGGAATGGGGGCATGCAGGCTTAATTCTGGTCATGGTATCTGCTCATAGAAGCACCTAGATTTGAAGGGCTCACCTTGTTCTTGATTTTCCTCCGAATTTTCTTTAGAGCCTTCTCCTCTGATTTTGTTAGAGGCAATTTGGTGGGGATGGGATAGCCCTCGGCGATCAGGGTCCTTTTCTCCTCTTCTGTCAGGACCAGTGGGCCTGATCCTTGCAGTTTCTGTGCAGATCAAGGGGCAGAAAAAGGGTCAAAGCAGAACAACTGGGCATACTCAAGAAACTTGCAAATGTGGGGCGCCTGGGTGGCTCAGTCGTTAAGCATCTGCCTTCAGCTCAGGTCATGATCCCAGGGTCCTGGGATCAAGCCCTGCATCGGACTCCCTGCTCCGCGAGAAGCCTGCTTCTCCCTCTCCCACTCCCCCTGCTTGTGCTCCCTATCTCGCTGTCTCTCTCTCTGTCAAATAAATAAATTTTAAAAAATCTAAAAAAAAAAAAAAAAGAAACTTGCAAACGTCTGAGAGAAAAGGATGCTCGTCTGCTTCTGGTGAGAGATGAGTAGTTTGAAGGGGAAGCAAAGACGGAGAACACACTCTCATGTGAAGGTTACAACCCAAGGATTATCATTCAAGGGAAAGGGTGAAGAAACCTCCACCCATCCGTTCCCAGAAGGTACCCCACTGGCTAAAACATCAAAAGTAACATTACAGGATTCATTTCCCACATCTCTTGAGATTTCATGGCCTTGGAGTGATGGAGGATTCACTTGGAGCTCTGATGATGAAAGAGTTTCCTTGTTCTCCCAAAAACACAATTTTCCAAGATGCTCTCCACACACCAGGGGTCACTTCTTGTCCCCCACTGAGAGCTAAGGGGCCAGGGCTCCCAGAAATACACCTACAGGCACATCCGATGGAAGTCTCTGGCTTGGGACAGTCCCAGATTGTCCATCATCAGTGAAGAAGAGGACTGTAGCTCATCTCATCCAGGCCATAATAGAATAATGTGTTTATACATAGTCAAAGAAGCTGAGTGCTGACTACATTTGAGCCCCACATTAAATGTCATGGAACACTCAAAACAAACTGCATTTCTCAAGTCATAGCTTGTAATCAAGATTGAGACTGAATTAATACACATGAAAGGCTGAGGACAATTAAATGCTACACTGTAATATCAACTCAAGGTGCATTCACAGTCTGGGGAAAGAGACACATGAGTGTCTCTTTAGGTAGGCGAGGACACTTGCATTGGGCCTTTTGAAAGGAAGGGGATGATTTACATAGAGAGAGGAGGGCATTCCAAGCCAAAGGCCGTATTCTGAAAAGCACTTGAAGATGCTACTCTGTCTAGAATGGATAAGTTCTTGAAATAGGGAAGGGTCAAGGCACCTAGTACTGAGTAGAGGTATTCAGATTTGATACCAAGAGCTAACTGAGAAATACAAAGAACACCCTATGGGGGTGTGACATTGGGAGGATTTCTTAACATGGCCACAGATCCAGAACTCTGGGACACACTGACTTTAAATCATCAAAATTATATTAATTGATAGATGGTTCTTACAGAATTTTTAAATATTCAAATTTTCTCTATGTGATATAAATTCAATAAGGTTGATAATAATTTTATGATTTTTCAAATTTCACAGAGATCAAGGAACTCTTCAGAACAGTAAAATGTTAATTATCTGTCCCTATTTTTATTTGGAAAAAGGTGCCCTTACGGATGACTCATGCTTTCTAACTTGAGTCTCTGGATTGGGAGTCGTACCACAGGAAAAAAGGGTTAAACTATATTTCTGAGTTTTCAACAACAAAACATTTAATCTCAAAGTTTTGAGTTCATCAAAGATTGTTTATTTGAAAAGTTATTTCCTATTGTAGGCCATCGGATCATCTAAATTGATGGTAAGTATTTGGGACGTGATTTTGAGGAGGAAGGCCACACAACATTTTTACCCCTCATGTTTCTGGCTGTGTGAAATAAAACATACAAGTAATAATTGGAATGTGCACAGGAAAAGGAAGAGGACTGTGTTAAGCATGGTGAGATTATAGGCAGGTCTTAAAATAATGTTCTTTAAGATGGCTAGCACCCTGTTTTAGCAATTAAACCTAAGACCTCTTTACAAGAACAAAAGTCAAGTGGCCTTAAGGGCACCCACTCCTAGTGAAGTTCCAAGTGACCAAAGGGAAAGCGTTTGAGCCCCGAGCTGCCCGCGGAATACTCACGTGAGGCGCCGTGAGGAGAGGAGAGCTGGACAGGGCCGAGGGGGCCCGCGCCACGGCTCTGGCGGGGCTGTGGGTCTGAGGCAGGCTGAAGGGGTGCAGGCGCGGGTTGGGGCTCAGGCTGCCCTCCGAGTCACTGCTGTGGCTGCTGGGAGGGGTGGGAGGTAAGTGCAAGTGTTCCACGGAGGCTGAGGGAAAGAGAGTGGATTTCATCCATCAGACAGCAGCGAAGCAGGACTCAGGGGCGGTTAAACAGCTGGACGTCCACACGGCCGAACTCAGGTCAGCCGAACAAAGGGATGAAGATTCTGCATGTGCTGATATGGAAAGATCTCCAACAGATATTGTGGGGGGGGGGGGGGGGCATCAAGGTGCAGAACCGTGTATAAAGTAGCCCTCCTTTTGTAGGAAAGAGGAGCGGAGGCAAATATAGACTCATATTTGCTTGTCTCTGCATAAAGAAATACTGGGAAATATATAAGAAATTAATAAAATTGGGGTGCCTGGGTGGCTCAGTTGGTTAAGCATCTGCCTTTGGCTCAGGTCATGATCTCAGAGTCCTGGGATCGAGCCCCGCATCGGGCTCCCTGCTCAGCGAGAAGTCTGCTTCTCCCTCTCCCACTCCCCCTGCTTGTGTTCCCTCTCTCGCTGTGTCTCTGTCTGTCAAATAAATAAATAAATAAATAAATAAATAAATAAATAAATAAATAAATAAATAAAATCTTTAAAAAAAAAAGAAAAAGAAAAAACAAATTAATAAAATCATGATGTCTTGGGGGCAGGGGAAATTAGGGTAGACTGTGGTAGTGCCTGCATAACTTCTCATTGTATTCACTTCATATCATTGATATTGTTTGACTTGTAAACCATGTTAATGGATTAGGTACTTAAAAAAAATTAGCAAAACTTGGGGCCCAAGAGCATTTCCAATGGTTACTTTTAGAAAAGCTCATTTGTTTCTGAAGGAATGTGCATGGTAGGGCCCGCAGGCAAGACACCAGACATTCTTCCTTCAGAAAATTCTAAATCCATCTGTAGATAGGTAGGCAGACACTGGAAAAGAAGTAAGTGTGTGTGTGTGTGTGTATGTGTGCGTGTGCGCATGCTGGGGGCCTTGCTGCTCCCCGGTCCCCTGGCCTCCCCTCAGGGAGTCACAGACACACCGTGTCTGCTGGAAGCCCCAGTCGGTGTTATCCATCACACATCCCCAGGGCAGCAGGGATGGGCTCCAGTAGGGAGAATCCACTCTGAGCCCAACCTTTTTGACAAAAGAGCTCTCCTTTTTCTGGTCTCCTTTCTATCCCCGCTAAACCGAAATGCCTTGAGCGCCAGCCACTGCTACTGAGCCCAGGGGCATAACCTTGGGTAAGCCTTTCACCCCCACACCCCCAAGGGGCCCCCAAGACAACCGAGCCCTTTAGCATGGAAGCTGCAGCTCGGCCGGAGGAGTGCTTGGGGCCACAGAAAGGCTTCGACCTCTTCTTCTCTCCTGTAACCAGAGACTGCCCGAGGAGGGAAGGGTCTTCTGAGGCACAAGTGACCTACCAGATCCCACCCAGAGCTGCCTTTGCAGGTGACAAGCAAAGACCAGGTGGCTCTCTCTTGAAATCCCTGAATATCCGAGGTAATGAGTAACATGTCTTCCAGCCACACACACACACACACACACACACCGGCTATTCACAGCACACAGCTCTTTCTTCTTATTCTCTTCCTCTTTTTCTAACATAGTACCTTTCACTAGATGCTTCCCTTTTTCTCTGACAAAGTCTTGCCAAAGAGCTCCCTGGGTTTTTTAGAGTCTGGGTACTCTGCAAGCTAACGAATATTCTAAAATAATCCTTGTATCTCTAGTGCCAACATTCCTGCCAACGGTTCCGGGGGCCTCAAATACGTGCCCCCCCAGAATGGAGTCCTGAGAGTGTTAACCAAGCAGCAAAGTAGCAAAGTCTCTCCCTGAGCTCCCTTTGGTGGAATGTTCCTAACCCCTTCTGGTTTGGCACTGCCAATTTGAATACACTTGTGCTCAGATAAGCTCCTCAAGATTTTAATATGCCTCAGTTTACCTTTTAACAGTGGTGGGAAAAAAACCAAAAAAACAGAAAAACAACCAAACCCAAGAGCAAAACCTATTAGGGGCTCCCGTTGTCTGCCACACTGTGCTGTTATATTCTGGAGAACTAGCCAAGTGTACCCAGAGCTTACTTGTCCCTTTCACTTAGCACCATCCAAATTATTCTAATACTTTTCTCCTTTCCAAGCAGAAGGTGCTCCACAAAAAAAGCCAGACACGGCATGACGGGAGAAGTGAGGGAAACTCGAATCCCCTCTTTCCTGCTTATTAAGAGCTACTGAGCTGGCTCTAGGTGCCTCGGTATCAGATTTCTAAATATCACTTGAAATGCCAGTCTCAGATTACTTGAAAGGTCTGGGGACAATAAGCTACTTTGCCTAGAAGCTCCACTGCATACAAGGATATTGAATTTCCTCCTCTCTGTTTATCTAGGATAATGAAGAAGGACTGCCTGCCACTTACTTTACCCTTGAAATGTTTCTCCTCCAGTGAGCCATTCATTGTTACAGTTAGGACACTTTCTTTTTTTTTTTTTAAAGATTTTATTTATTTATTTGAGAGAGAGAGAATGAGAGACAGAGAGCATGAGAGGGAGGAGGGTCAGAGGGAGAAGCAGACTCCCCGCCGAGCAGGGAGCCAGATGCGGGACTCGATCCCGGGACTCCAGGATCATGACCCGAGCCGAAGGCAGTCGCTTAACCAACTGAGCCACCCAGGCGCCCCAGTTAGGACACTTTCTGAAGCATACTGCAACATAAACTAAAAGAGCAAGATGTATTTGATAGTGTTCATGAAAATGAAAGGAATTACTTTAGAAGAGTATGTAAGCTGAAAGGCACTAATGGATAACACTCAGTAAAGGCACTAATGGATAACACTCGGTGGAAAGAAATATTGTCTCTATATGGATTCTAGTGGGTATTGTTAATTTCAAAAATGTAATCGTTTCTTACTGATAATAAAGGCAAATACCAACCCTGATTAAATTGTCACAGATAACATCCTGAGTTCGTTTCTAGTGGAATGAAGGAGGTTATGCTTTCATGAGAACTGCTCATTTGTAACACCCATACATTTAAGCATACACCGTAACACAGAGGCCTTTTCTATGACAAACGCACATACGAATTTCTTATTTGTTGACCACGCTAATGAACTGTCCTTCTAACCTCATCCTGAAGACATAAGTAAAAACGAAGATGACAGCAGCCCTGAAGGCACAAAATTTAAAGCACAGGGGCCACGCAGGGGTATCTCAATTTAAGAAAAGGCAAAGAAAGCTTCCTTTGACTCTATGACACTTGGGGGGTCGGTGTTCAGGATTCCTACTTATGGGCTTCATCTGAGAACCAGAGGGAGAAATCAGAAAGAAACTGACACAGAGAAAGAAAAGGCGAAAAGTATGACAACTTTGAATATGACATTATTTTGTTCTAAATGGATGGCAAGACGCCCAATGAGATTCATGAACTAATTTATAAATAGGGAAGAGGCTCCTTGTAACTATTGTCACCTAAAATCAACATTTAAACACACTGAATGATCAGACAAATTGTGAATTCACTTTACAAAGGGCAAGGTGCCTTTGTGGATGTTTGCATCTTGGCCTCTACTGCTCACCACAGTGGCACAGAGAATGGGGCTTGATTCACACGTTCACACCCAGAAAGAACACTTGCCTTGTTCACCAGCACCGAAGTCATAGCTGACTATAAAGGTTTGGAAAGGTTTGGGGGAAAAAAAAAAAAACCACCCCTGCTGGGAGTAAAAGTAAAATATAAGATTTAGCATAAAAGCCTTAAGCACATACACCTATTTAGATAAAAGATTTAAGCATATAACATAGACGGGAAATTAAAATTTAGCTTTCAACATCTGTACTTAGAATCAAGGTTTTAAAGAGCAGAGCTATTTCAGAAAGCAGGCGATGCCTATGGTACAAATTAATCCCAGCACTTTCTCCCACATTCCCTTTGTGCATGGACATCTGGGAACCCGAAGGAAGGCAGGGAGAGTAGACAGACCTTCTTTAGGAGAGAAGTTGAGGAACTGATCCACTTCATGAGGCTCCAGCTTAATTTTAGGAATAACGGTCTGGCACAAGGAATCAACCTAGAGGGAGAATTTCAAACACAGCATTTAAAAAAATAAAAATCAGTAAGAAAGGTCAGGGTCTTGGCCTTGCTCCGAGTGGACCCAAGACGCTGACCTTTCTTACTTACATACTAAAAAATCTACTGAACTAACATCTTGTGGGGCAAGGAGACTAAGACACACTAGGAGCCCAGTGCAATGAACAGATCCAGGCAGTGAACGAGAAAGGCATTCTAGAGCGCAGCTGCAGAGGGGCTCTGTCCACAGTCCCCCATCTTTTCCAAAATGGATTGTAAAGAGCGCTAAGAACAAGTGTGCACCGAAGCTTTGGCAGCTCTGCTGCTTCCGTGCGACCTCTTCCTAAACAGGTACAGGTAGATAGGACACCTTGCTCAGAGGAGATCTGACTTAACATCAGTGGAGTCACTGCTTATAAACCTTTGGCTCTGAACTTTAGGAAACTCAGGACTGGCTTCCAACATCTGGAAGAAAATGTCCACATATGATATCTGGTCCATCACTGGACACTAGAAACACCCAGAGGGAAGGTGGGGTAGGCACGTAGGCATGGAATCGAATAAGGAAGAAATGCCCAATTTTGTATGTTTTCCATGCATAATACAATAAAAGTTGGTAAGTGGGAGATCCCCGCATTGGGTCAGGGCAACTCCACACTGCACGAGAAAGGGAAAACATTACACAGGACAGACACTTCCATCAGCCCCGGCATACAAGCCAAGGATCAAATTATCATTTAACTCCTCTCTTTCCACTGGCCTAAAAATCAATCCCATGGGTAGTTTGGGGTTTTTTTTAACCATGGATATCCATCTATTTATCTTAATTTTGTAACAGCAATCATTGGAAAAATGAAATCGGACTTGGCTACTAGTTTTCTGAACAATGCCTTTAAAGGAAGTGGTATAATCAATGCTGATCCCAAATCAACATATCCTTGATATATACATACATACATATGCAATTACATATTTGGAAACATCTAGAGCCACTAGTTCCAAAAAAGGTTAAATGCCTTATTGGAGAATGAGGATCCGTGTCTTTTGATCCAATGTATGTGTAGGGAAGAAAAGTGAGTATACCCCAGTATTCATTTCCAGGGGGGGTTCCTCCTTCTCAAAAGGGGTGGAGATGGCAGTGATGGTCAGAGTGACAGAGGGAACAAGTCCTGGGGGCGGCTCCTCTGTAATTGGCTCTGTCTTGATGGTTGTTGATGGAAAGTCTGTAGACAGGTACCATTTCTCACTTTCCACTTCATCTATGGGAAGAAGACAAGCACACGTATGAATCTGGTCAGGGGTATCAGACATAAGTAAAACAAATGACCACTGATCTTGCTCCTCAAAAAAAGAGCTCCAACCAGGAGTTACTGAGCATAGAATAAGAGGAAATAAAGTGAGGATGTGAGAGAGGAGATCAATGGATAAAGAAATGAATGGCCAAGTAAGAATCTATACTTGTATTCACTTTGAGTGCATGTATGCCTAAAGGAACCTCAAGGATCCATGTAAAAGAAAGAAACCTGCCTTCCTCCTGGTCAGAGCAGGAAGGAGACTGGGTAGACAGGGAACAGGACAGGAGGGAGAATCTCAATGTGTGATGCTTTACACTTTTTGGTTTTCAAACCAAGTGACTGTGTTATCTATTTAAAAATAAGTACACTTTTTAAAGATGTATTTATTTATTTGAGAAAGAGAGAGAGCATGGCTAGGAGAGGGGCAGAGGGAGAAGGAGAGAGAATCCCAAGCAGACTCCCTGCTGAGCACAGAGCCCAACATGGGGCTCCCTCTCATGACCCTGAGATCATGACCTGAGCTGAAATCAAGAGTCGGATGCTTAACCAGCTGAGCCATCCAGGTGCCCCAATAAGTACATTTAAAATTAAGAAACAAATGGTGTGTAACCAGAGTCTCAGGGAAGAGGACTGGAGACCATGGTGAGGTGGGCTCTATTCTTCTCCCAGTGGACAGTTAGTTGGTTTTCTTTTTTTTAGTTTCTTCTCACTCCCTGTTTTTGTCCTCGTTTCCCTATGACCTCACTTATGCCTTAAGCCTGACCTAGACTTCCAGAACTTTACTTAGCCCTCTGCGAAACTTCAGAGTTTGTAACAAACACCTGCCTTTACTGAAATGAACCAAATATCTAGAGAAAAGAGCTGGATTTTGTCAAGTGTAGATCTTGGCTCGCTACTGGCTTTCATGATGATCACAGGGCTGGGGATCGGGACAAAGGAATAAGAACAGACAGAAGCACCTCTACACTTAATGCACATTCTTCTAGGAGCTTACATCCACCTGTTTCTTACCAAATTACTTCAGAGCTACTAGCCAAGCACAGCCCAAAAGGAGGGAGATGGGCAGGAAAAGAAAAGACAAGGAGATTGCAAACAGATATAGAACAAGAAAAAACAAGTCAGAAATTCCCCAAGTCAGCATTCCTTATCTGAAACCATGTTTACTAAAATGAGGCTAAAATAAAGCAAAAATACGTTCCTTGCTTTATGAAAATGTTTAAACACACACACACACACACAGACACGGTTAGTGAACCATTACTGTACAGAAGAGCAAAGTCGTTCCCATTAGGCAGTGATTTTACACTCAAGAATTGGACTCAAGCTTTCTTCAGGAAAGGTACATGAAGATCATTTAGAACTGCTAGAGATGGGGAAAGAGTGGGCATAGAAGCTAAAAACGAAAGTTCACAATTATTAAAATTGTGTTTCCTAAGCAACTTCCTTGAAACCCAAGAAAACGTTAGATTCACATGTACAAAGGAAAATGATTTGCCCCTCCAAATCCAGTTTATAATTGACTTGATTAATTATCCCAGCCCCGATTTATTTCCTGAGGCAAAGTAAAGATGGGCAAGATTTCGGTTGGTTGAAGATGTTTTGCTTTTGGAACTTGTTCTATAAAGCTGCTGAGTGCTATGGTGTGATGGGAGAATTTCCATCATTTGCAGGGTGCACACCACATCCTGGCTGAGGGGGAGGGGTAGGAAACAAAGGGCCTTTTGATGGCGGCCAGAGGAGAGAGACCATACTGTACTTGACACAGAATTCTGCTGGCCAGATGGGCACCCCGCTCAACTTAGAGAAGCAACTGGATGAAGAGCCAAGTGAAGATTCTAATGCCTCTCCCAAAACGAGCGTAAGAACAAGAAAATTCTGTCACCAGCAAGGAAGACACACTCAGGACAGATCTGGGAAGAGCTAGAGAGATGGAGTGCACAGATTACACTTTCTCTATTCAGCAATGACATATGGATGCCTTTGCTTTGTGAAGTCAACACTTACAGCCTGTCCACACTGAGCAGTATTTATCCCTGCCAGAGACTGGAAGAGAGACAGTAAGATGCAATACAGCCTCAGTATATATTAAAATTAACAGTAAGGAGGCATCATTGAGAAAAGGTCACACCAGGAAATTGTGAGATAAGGCCAGATCCCCAGGCTGTGCACTTATATGACTACTGTAATGAAGCTTAATTCACAGGGGGAAAATAGAGGCAAAAATAAAAACAAAAAGCAATGCAAAACTATAAGACAAAATGAAGACAGGTAATGCAGTCAGTTCTTCCAGTGTAGCTAAGCAATCCTCAAACATAGCACAGGAGAGTTGATATTCTTAATGCTCAGTGTCCTACAAGCCTATTTTAAAATTATATATATAATCATTGCTATATCAGGAATGGAGACTGAAGGATGAACAATGATACTTAAACTACGAAGCAAAACCTCCTCTCTCAAAGACACTGAACTCTTCCAAGTGAGAAGCCCAAGGAAGTTGCCTCTTTTCCCGTGAGTTTTGTTGAGGACAAAACACTGGTGTTGCCTTTATGCTTCCACTCCGATAAAGTAATTTATTACTCTAACTTGAAGATGGTTTTTGAATCGGAAAGAAGTTTAAGGCCATCAAGCTCAAATACATCATTTTATAATGAGGCAATTGACACATAGATCCAGATCACACAGCAAAATTGTGGCAGACCCAGATCTCTGCACTTCCAACCAGTAGCCTTTCTGTAAAAGAAACAACTAAAAATGTAAATAAGGATTTGTGCACAGAATTGCTTACTGTTGCATATTTATAATCACAAAACACTGAAAATAACCAAAATAGTAGAGAACAAGGGCAAGGTGAACAAATTATGATGCATCCATATGTGGAACATTTATGCAGACAGTAATATTACACATACAAAGTCTTTTTAATAACAAGGCAAAGAAAGATTTATTATAGACTATTAAGAAAAAAATCGGGATATTAATTTATATACTATTAATGAAGAAAGTGATAGAAAAAAGGCTGAAAGGAAGTATATCAAAATAGTAAAAATATTTCTGGAAAAGAATTCAGAACATGAATGACTTTTTTTTTCTTTAGATTTTATACGATTTCTAAATTTCCTGTACTGGGATATACTGTCCCTGGATAATCGCACATGGACATGGCCTGCTTCTACCTGCTCTATTTTACGATGCTTTATGATGGTAATTATTATTAGATAGAAGCCCCAGTGGCTCAAGGGGGGTCCATTCAGAGTCCCTTGACTCAACAAGAGTCAGTGACTACTTTCATATTTGTTATAAATTGCATAATTGGCTTCAGGTCTATAGTCACCCCTCTATCCATGTCCACTGCCATGCAATTTTGCAGTGCCCTCCCACTGTGGACTAATCCCCACCTCGGATTGGCCACATGACTTGCTTTGGCCTTAGGGATGTTAGCTTCCTAACACAAGTAAAGTCTTAAAATGCACTTGCACAACTTGTACTTTCGACATCCTAATGAAAAGGATGTGCCAGGACAATCTACTGACCCCGGGAGAAGGAGGGCAGACATGTAAAACAGAGTTTGCCCCCCAAATGAGCCTGACCAAGATCAGTCAACTCCCAGCCTTAAATATGTGAGTGAATCTGGCTGAATCTAGGAAAATTACTCAACTGTCCCCCACCTAAAGCAGCCAACCTCCAGCCAAGGCACAGACATATGAGCTATAATAACAAATGATTGTGGTTAAAGCTAGAGTCTTGAGGTGGTTTAATACACAGCAATATAGCTGACTTACACAATCTAGCTGAATGTGTAAACAAGAAATTAAATCCATTACATCAGAACCCATTGCGACAAAAGAGCTGCACCTACTTGCCATAATAATTCCTCTAAACCATCATTTGTGAACCACATCAATAAATTTATAGATCAGCTGATTAGATCTACCAATTACATCATAAAATAATTGACTGCACATGAACAGAGTCAGCCAGTACGACGTTCGGTGAGAACAGCATTCCATTGGCAGTTGACATCAGAGAAGAGTTTTCATCCTAAACTACTAAGTGTTGGCTTGTCCTCTGTTCCTCACTGGAAATAAATATCAAATCAGAGAAAACCAAATGACAAATGTAACCTCTGAGGCAGGGGGTTAACAAAGGGTAGAGTGAAAGGGAGTGAGCAGAACACGTATTACGATTTTCCACGTGACCTTATTTGTGTAGTTTTATTATTTGGGCAAAAACATCAGTAGAGCCACCATGGCTTAGAACTGGAATTATCCTTAGATGTCTGAGTTATTGGCTAAACTACAAAAACAAGAGTCAATACACTCTACCCCCTCCAGTTTCTAAAACCCGAAGCTCAGATATTGAGTGAAAAAAAAGGTGTTTTTTTTCCTAAATTGTGTTTACCTGCCTTTTAAGTTTCACTTCGGAAGGAAAACATCACCCAATAAGGTCAGTAGTGCATACCACGGGGAAGAAGAACAACCCCCATATCATCTGATTTTATTTATAAACAGCTTCCTGTCAAACTCAACTGGCACATTTCCTCAGCATCACCACTTAGCTATCAGCAAGGAAATAAAAACAAGCCCCTGTCTCCTGGTGGTGAGCAAGTCCTTCCCATCCAAGGACAAAATGGAGCTGCTGTGAGAAATGAGGCTAGACTCAGACTACTCACACAACAGGATGCCCAGGGGGCTAGAAAAGACACAGAATTGAAACAACGTGGAGGCAACAGCACAATGAACATCCTCAATCATTCCCATATGTACTGCATCAGTAACTGCATTGAACGGATCCTGATTCCTCCGGAAGAGGGGAAAGAAAAAGGTTAAACTCTGTATTAGGATTAGGCAGTATCTTTACAAATATGGTATATATATATATATATTTACATACGTATACACACATACGTATATATAGTGTGTGCATATATATTCTTAAAAAGTGAAATCGTATGGGGCAAATACCAC